TTCTTTTTTTTTTTTTGTAACCCTTCAGACCTTGATTAGCTTATTTAGGTATGTTTGATTAGGAAGAAGCAAAACTCTGCAGTACTGTGGCTCTCCAGGACCGAAGTTTGCCACCCCTTGTATGAACACTCAGTTTAGGTCCCATTTCCACAATCCCACATTATTACATTATTATCTTACTCTCTGAATTGCATTGAACATTTTGAAACCTTTTGCATCCTTCATTGTCTTCCAGGTGAAGATTGATATAAAGAAACGACTGAGTGATGATCCAGACTACAACCACCAGCGGTTTCCCAATACTCACAGAGCTTTTTCTGAGGACTCCTAACCCAACAGCTCGGTTTACTCTGTCTTGTCATCTGTCAAACATAGTCATCATGACCAGGACGTCTCGAAGGAACGGCCAATAGCGTCTCGTGCATTGAGGGGTTCCAGCTGTTTTGAAATCGGCGACTGACACATATCTCAGATGTCTGCCATAGTCAAACGTGTGGATAGTGGCTAAATATAGAGCCGGTGAACTAGACCGGCCATGGAGGCAGAAGAAACTAGACTTTCTTTCCACTACGTGGCATCCATTTGTCGGAAACAGCATCTTATAATCTTAGTAGATGTCAAAACATTCAGTTTTAATCTGACAGGATTCATATATGCCCCTGTCCATTGTAAATTAGCTGTACATTGTTGTAATAAGTTGTTTTAATAATGACGATAATATCAGGCACATATACATGAAGAAAACGTAATTCGTTCCAGCTTGACCTGCTCAGTGTGTAGATAGAGGAGATGCCAAGATTGATGTTTACAAGCTCCAGGCATGTTGAACATAGATGTACAGCACTGCACATTCGTCACTGGAAGAGTTTTAGTCATAGTGAATGCCATACAGCTGTTATTTGTATTTCTTGCATGCCAAAAACATCTTGTTGGCTCCATCATGTTGTTCATGAATGTGGCTGTTACAAAATAAATGGTTCTAGTTTTAAAGAAAAGGCTGTGTCTGCCTCCATATGTTTGGCCACTTACATTAAAGAAACCTCTTTGCTATGGTTTAGTTTTTAAAACAAGCACAATGACTTTCATCTGGATACAAATTGGTATCTCATTACTTTAAGATATAAAACTGTGATACCCAGGAAATGAGATAATTTGGAGAATGACAATTTTTGCATTAATTACATTAATATGGTCTCAACCATTCAACCATGTTTAAATTTTTTTTTTTTTTTTTTGGTTGGTTGGTTGGTTGGTTTTTGTTATCAATAACTGTAAACCAGCATTTGGCCCCTTAAGTGCTAGCTGAACAATTATTTAATTTATGGTAAATTTCTAACCCTGTTACCCATACTTTACTGACATTATTGAATCTTTATTCAACTCAAACTTTGGTGACATAGCTGAATTTATTTATTTTTTTTTTTAACTAGTATAAAATAAATAGAACATTATAATAAATAATAAAGCATTATCATTCAAAAGTTTAGGGTTGGTAAGATTTTTTTAATGTTTTTGAAATAAGTCTCAAATGCTTACCAAGGCTGCATTAAAGGGGTCATATGATGCTGCTAAAAAGAACAGTATTTGGTGTAATGAAATGTGTTTATGCGGTTTAAGGTTCAAAAAACACATTATTTTCCA